AACAGACATTTCACCAAAGGAAATGAATGGTCAGCAAGTATATGAAAAAAGGCTCAGCATCACTAATCATTAGGGAAATGCAAAATAAAACAACAATGAAATATCAGCTCACACCTGTTAGAACGGCTGCTATAAAAAAAGAAAAAAAAATGTGAATGTTGGCAAGAATGCAGAGACAAGGGAAAATGAGTACATTATTGATGAGAATGTAAATTAGTACCGCCATTTTCATAATCAGTTTGGGGATTCCTCAAAAAAACTAAAAATACAACTACCATATGTTCTAGCAGTGATACAACTTGGTGTATATCCAGGGGAACCGAAATCAGTATGTTGAAGGGATATCTGTGCTCCCGAGTTCAYTGCAGCATTCTACATAATAACCAACACAGGGAATTCATCTAAGTGTTCATCAGTGGATGAATGAACAAAACACAAACTGGTATGCATACACAATGGAACATGATTCTACCTTTAAAAAGAAGGAAAATGTGTCATTTGTGACACCCAGGTTAAATCTGGAGAACACTATGCCAAGTGAAATCATTCAGGCACAGAAAGACAAAATACCTCATGATGTCACTTATATGTGGAATCTAAAAAAAGTTGAACTCATAGAAGTAGAAATTACAACAGTGATTACCAGAGGCTGTGGGGACAGGCTGGGAAGTTAGTCATCAAAGGGTACAAAATTTCAGAAATGCAGAGGAATAACTTTTGAGGTTTCTTACATAGCAGGGAGAATATAGTCAATGTATTATATACTTCAAAAYAACAAAAAGTAAATTTCAAATGTCTCATCACCAAAAATAAGTAAGAGAGGTGATGGATATTTCATTTCATGATTTAATCATTACCTATTTTATCCACATAGCATCCCTGTGTTTCCAATATGCAATCAACATTTTTCAATTAAAAAAAAATATTCAGCCAGGCATGGTGACTCGTACCTATAATCCCAGTCACTCCAAAGGCCAAGGCAGGAGGATCACAAGTTTGAAGCCAGACTTCACAATATAGTGATACCCTRTCTCAAAATAAAAAATAAAAGTGCTGGATATGTATCTCTGTGTAAATTGCCAATGGGTTCAATCCCTAGAATCAAAATCATAATCATCATCATCATCATCATCAATAATAGCAAAAGGAGAGAATAAAGAAGCAGTCAGTATGGATTAGCATGGAAGCAAAAAAAAATATGCAATACTAGAAATACGATTTTAAAAACAATACATAGTCCAGTACTGCAACATGAATATCCCTGGCCAAGGATGCCAATGAATTCTAATAAGGAGGTATTCTTGTCAACACTATATCTGAACAATTGCTATATTACAATTTAATCTTCTTGCTCACTATATATTAAGTATTTTTAATATTGTCTATAAATAGAATTTATTCCATTTTGAAGATTTGCATTTTCTACCTAATATCTTAAAGGAAAAATAATGAGTTAAAAATAACAGGTTCATATATTCTTAAGAAAAAATTCATCCCACCAAATAAGAACATTTTTTAAAACCTATTCATAGCATCTGTTGCAATTGAAATGCAACCTCAACTATGCCAATTTTATTAAGAAAAGTCTTACATATTAATCTGTTTCTTTAAAGGTCACACCATTGTAAAGGCAGCATAGATTGATTTTATTTTTCTTTCAAATGCAGCTACTCTAACCTCATTATACAGTTAGATTTTAAAAACTCTAATCTATAAACTTAGCGCCACAGGTTTTCATGGGTGAAATTGCTTGGCCATCATTATTCCTTCACCACATTATCCCCCTCGCATGGTATACAAAAGAAAGTATTTAAAGTGATTCTACATTTTATCTACAGGTTCTTGTCCACATTTTAAATAAAATGCCGAAGTGGAAACTTCTCRGAAAAKAAATGAAAAGCAAAAAAGCCAAAAGGTGACCTCCCAATGTAACATTTAAAATGAAATGTGTTTATTTGACAGATCYGCGCCTTTGCTTTCCTCTGAAGCTGAGAGTTATTAGAATTTTTCATGCAGAGGAGACCTTTCCCACTCAGCAGCTTCCTCCTTCCTTACATTAACCTTTTCCCTGAAGCAAGACCATGCATGTTATCGCAGCAAGAGTGCTAAAGGGAGCTTCATAGAGATTAATAATGGAAGAAGCTTTGCACTTCTTGTCAAACCAACTRGGTGGTTCCTCTTCGCTGCTCACCGAGGAGCAGGAAGGGCTTTCCCAGACAGACTGGAGCAAGGGGCAGCACACCCACATTTAGCCTCTCCGGCAAAATTGGACAAATACAAATGAATCCTGTCCTTGGTTGTGCTTTGTATTTAATAGTTGCTAAATATGAACAGCATGATAGCTATAGGGGAAAAAATCATTAGCCTGTTTTCTCTGCGAGAAGAAATTCTTCAGTAATCCTGATTTATTGTTTTAATGTAATAATGATAAACATGTAAATAGAAGACAAATAAGGGCAACATTGGAATTTGTAGTCTTATTTTAGTAGAAGAAAATGAAGAATTCTTTAAACACYGATTGATATTTTATCTAGATAAAAAATAAAAAATATAAGTTTGAGCAAAGTGACCTACAATATTAGAATTAGTGACACCAGATAATTAATTGCATCAATAACTATAGGAACCACCAACTACCAAGCGGTGATTTTATGAAAACGTCATTTACAGAAGGCAATTGTGGGCAAGAAGGACACTAGTCTCCATTTTGCCAAAATGTAGTGTTCCTGCAAGGTTTCATATTATAATGAAAACCACAGACACATCTATGTCATAGAACGTATCTTCCTTTGGTAAACTGTTTCCTGTTCATTACTGCTATTMCAGGAAGCAATGGAGTATTTTCCCACCTGTGAGAGTTTTTTTGACTTTAGGATCTTTTATAAAAAAATGCAGGTTCAACATCAGAGAATTRGCGAATGGTTCACCTAGGACTCAAATGTAGATCCTCCACTCCCTAAAGTTTGTCCTCTTTCCATTATACTGAAATCAAAATCACAAGCCAGAGATGTGCTACAGGTTCAATTGATATCAACTCACTTGAAGGTAGTGGTCTATAAAAGAAAAGAAAATCTACCCATCCAAGTTAAAATTCATTTCAAGTGTTTCCATATAAATTCAAATTTCAACTCATAATTTCCATCATAGCATTTTATGACCGCAYTGATGAGTTTCYTTTGAATTTTGCTTCACTAATCTAGCACTAAAATCTTCATTTTTGCTTATTGCTTCTTCTTTACAGTCAGGGAAAAACTGACAAAATACATTCCACACAGTTAAAAATCTTAGTGATTTCATATTAATTAAAATATTTTTTAAGCATGGGCCAGGTCTTTATTAAACAATATACTTTAGTTTTTAACTGAACCTAAAGGCATATAACATAAAACCAATGCAGAGCCAGGAATCYAGCTGAATCTCCTGGGCTGCTCCTAAGTCCCTGGTTGAAGATGTACTGAAATTGAAAAGAGGAGAATGACACTTACATTGCTGCTCATCGCTATTGTCCGAACACTGATTTGTGAAGTCACACACATTGTCAGGTGGCAAGGAGACCCCATCGCCACACTGAAAGGCTTCCGTTCCTTGCTGACCCAGTGGAAAAATGAAAACACAGGAAATCCAAAAGAAACAAAAAGCTCCATTCATTGGGAATGCTGACATTGTAGCCAGGGAAAAGAGCATTACTGGGTGTTGTGTATCAAAGATCAGGCAGTTGTAATAGGTGAGTCCATAATTGGAGACATTCTTTTTCTTTTCTTCCTTCTTTATTTTCTAGATTTGCTTCTTGGGACTGGATTCTGTTGGTAATTCGCTGCAACTCTAASAAATGACTCCTCAGGTAGTTACTTTAATCTTTGAGAGGAGTGACTTTAGAAAATATTTAACTTGAGTAATTGCACCATTTCTGTAGCTAACTAAACATGGGTGTTTATTGCCCTACGTATGCCATGTTTAAACAATTTAAACTTTTATGGTCATGCTATCTCCTGAAAGAAAAATTTAAAAACAAAGGGCAAGCACATAAATGAGGGATGGTGGGAAAGAACCATAATAAAATTCTAAATTACATAGAAATGTTCTCCCTTAACCCCTGTGCTCACTTAAGCCCATCCGTGTAATTGGAAATTTATTGTTACTAAAATATATTCAAATACCTCAGGTGCCATTGTCAGAATTGCTCGAGGGAATGAAATGGTTTTTCTCTTTAATTGATTAGAACCTCCCCTTGCTATTTGACATAAATTAAGAACCACAGATCTTTAAAATTGAAAGAACATTGGATTTTATTTTATAAAATCACATAATTTGGTTCTAAGGAAATTATGGGATGTGCGTGAGAAAACCCAGTAAGTTGGTGTTAGAAAGTAGAGCTCAGCTATCCCATTGTTGAGCACAGAGCTTTCTTCTACAACATACGCATTTATCCATCCGATCATTTTAATTTTCTTTTACAAATCAAACACACACTCCAGGATGCATATTCAGAGTGATCAGTACAGAAGTTTGCATGGAAATATTAAGTATAAAATACTAATAATTATAATATTTTATGAAGTTGAACATTCAAAATATTTCTTTATATATATTTTATTGAAGGTGTGGCACAATTGTTTTAAAGTATATTATTTTAATTACTATAACATAACGCCAAGAGCCAAAGATAGCCCACAAGCCTCTAAGAAGCAGCTGGAGAAACATAGAGGGAAAAAATACCACAGATCAGGGATAGAGAATACACCTGAGCATTTTTTTTAATGTTATAAAAGTAGATTTTCCCTATATCCTAGTGGGGAAAGTCATGAGTATATTCAGAATGTGAGCATCCAGGATTCTGGAAGGTAAGAGAGTCTGTAATTTTGTAGTCCATATAATCTAGGATTCCCATGTTCTGTTCCATTCCCTTTTTAGAAATATCTCTTCTTCATAACTCTCTGTATGGAAAATGAATGTTGATTAACACCTTCTCTACCTCTTTTTTTCACTTGTCATTAAATGTTGATTACCCTTATAGTTTCATGTCAAGGCCCCCTCTCTGCTAGGATTATACTTTTTTATAGGCTTTTATCTTCACTCTCTGATTTCAAGAAGTTTTTATTTTCTGTTGTCTTCCAAGTCTCTATCTGCAGTATGATATACACTTATTTCTGTGTGCACGTGCACACACGGACACACATCCTAGTTGGCGTGTTGACTAGAATCAATAACGAAACTCATCTTTCTTTCTCTGACACAACCAAACAGCTATTATTCTGTATTCCAGTAAATGGTATCTTTGTCCAACTGCCTGAGTCAGAAGTATCTCTTTCCTGGACTAGTCTCACCCATTCTATTGATCACCAAGTCTCACATAYTGTATGTTTCAGTTAAAGTTCTATTAGTTCTTATCTCCACAATACCCCAAGCTGGATATTTCTACTACCCACAACTCACTTTCCATGCTTCAGGTRGAGTGATTATTCTAAAGCATGAATCCACACCTACATGTAACCTCTCTCTGAAGTCAGTGCAAATGTCACACTCTTCAGTGTGGGTTACCTGTTGAGGTGCAACCCTTGTCTCATCCTGACTTATGCTTTGCCATGTGTTACTGGACTGCTGTTGTGGCAGTTCTCTAAGCATACTCTAGAGTTCATATCTGAGATCTCTCCCCAACCAATCTCCGGGTCCATAGTCATAATTTACATTTCAGCTTAGAACACTTTCTCTAAGGTACCTTGGGTGGTTCTCCCAAAGTGGGTTGTTTTCCCAGCGTTCAGTACTCATGAATTTTAACACCTATAAATCCAGTATGGTCACTGTCTGCTTGCTTAAGTGACTCTTTATTAGCCTGTAAGAACAAAGCAGGTTGTATATTCAAACTCCAAGATTTACTCAGCCCACGTATCTGCTACTTTGTATCCTCTGACCTATAGCTTCACTATTTTCCCTTCCCCACCTATGAAAATCACTGCTATAGTCCCTCTCAAATATAAAAAAGTATATAATATTAATTACAAAAAGTGACAATTTTTTAGATTCTATATATAAGYGGGAGATCATGGAATATTTGTATTTATGTATCTGGCTYATTCCACTCAGCATAGTGTCATCTTGGCCCATCCATGCTATAGCAAATGGCAAGAACCAATTTTTTAGGACTGAATAATATTCCATTATACATACATACCGCRATTTCTTTAGCCATTCATCCAGCAACGGGCACTTAAATTTTTTTCCCATATCTTGGCTCCCATGTCAACTCTGGAGCTCATGTAAGTAATGAAATTGTTCAATATATGCGAAACTTGCTAAATTAGTAGATTTTAGCAGCCCCTTTCATAAAAATAAAAAATAAACTGATAACTAGATGAGATGATGGGTATGATAACTTGTTTCGTGACTAGTAACATTTTTACTCTCTATATGGATCCCACAACATCATGTTGTATACCTTGAATATACAGTAAAATGTATTTTTAAGAGAAGAAAATAATATGGTAAAATGTTGCAATAAATGTGCTGGATTAAGAAAAAATAAAGATCTTGCTTACACTGTAACTTGCTGTTTCCCCCTAGAATATATGATGTTATATTATTAAATTTATTCTATATCCATGACCAAAGAGCTGGGGGTTGGGGGTGCGAGTTGTGATTTTTTTTAACTGTTGTATCCCTAGTATCCTCAGTAACTAGCACATTTTCCAGCAGATAGCACTTGTACAAACAAATCGTGAATTGAAAAAAAAAAATCAGTAAGGGATCACAATTATCTCAACCTTCACTAGGAATAAGTAAATAAATGCAATGAAAATATGAAAGTTGAAAATGCCACTAGATAAAAGATAAACAATTATTGTGTTCAGTGTTGCTTTTCCATTTTAAAATCTTGGGTTATTTTAAAAGAACCTTTATATTTTGAAATCTCAATTTTGCATAACAGTGGCAAGATACTCCCCAATAATAACTAAATGATTATATCACACCAAAGCTTATTTCTGATTTTCCTCCTAAGAAATAAAGGAAGTAATAAAGGGAGGGAGGGAAAGAAAAAATACATAAAAATAGAGGGAAAAAGAAGAAGAAAAAGAAAAAGAGCGTACAAAAGCAAAAGGGTATTAAGAGACATGAGAAGATAGAAACATTTCAATTTTATATTCTGATTCTAAATTTGGTTCACATAGCATTTTAATAGGTTCACTATTTTTCATTTTGAAAAGAAAATCATGTATTTTGTTGCTGTTATAGCCATTTACTGCCTTGTTTCAGATGGTAAACTGCTTTATTAACTGTTACTACCTACTAAAAATAACATTGCCCTATGGTGTTTCACGGGCCATTCATCACTTAAACAAGAAATGGACCAGAACGTTGGCACTCAAGGTAAATCAGAATAACCCAGTCAGAAAAGATTTTATAAGACAAATTTATATTTTGTTTTCAAATGCTAAAATTAATTTCAGCTGATAATACCATCCTCAGTTTTTTTTCTCTAAAGACTCTAGAAGGGGCAAGGGATACTGAGAGTACCTATGTTGTTTTACACAGGGTCTTGAGAGGGGAGAAAACTTCCCTGAAGGTTTAATTAACATTGGCTCATCAAACTTTAAATACCCTCTAGGGTTTTTCTCTACTTTTACTTTAAAAATGTATTCAGATACTGGAAGCACTGTGATTAACTACTCAGTAACAGAGCTTGGATGTGAACCTCAGATAGAAAAAATAAAGTGCCCATAGAGTTTTAATTAAATTTTGTTGCCAATGACTTTCATCATGGGTTATAAAGCTACCGAGAGAGACTTCCAAGAGGCTAAATATTCAAAAATAACAGAATAATTGTTGTAAATACATAGTTTTTCTCTTTTTACAAAAAAAATGGAGCAGTGAATTTACATAAACATTGAATATGTAAAAGAATGATGAGACAGATGTCATGCAGAACAAGGCAGTGGCCCTGATTTTAAAGAATCTACAACTGAGGAAGGGTGTATGAAGACATTTACAAACACACACACACACACTCACACACACGGACACACACACACACACACGCACAGCTTCTAGCTTTGCAAAAGTAGTTCACTACATTTCCACTTTAAAAAATAAGCCAATTCTCTCATTTAAAAAAGTCATATGCCAGATGAAATATATTACAAAATATTTTAAAATGTAAAACTAAATGCTAGACTTGAAAAGTATAAATCAAATTTTAAGAGTCAAAAAGAGGAGGGAAAGATATAGAATTAATGCAATCATTTATTACTCAAAGACCATTCTAAAGAATATTTTAAGGAAAATTCCAGAATTAATGCAAAATAATGATTGGCAGAAAGTATGAAATGCATGAAGAAATGGTGAGTCAAGACTGGAGCCATGTTTGCAGATCCTGATATTTAAAGATGGACTGGGCAATGTGATAAAAGTATGTGGATCTGCATAGGGTGGGGAATTAAACAGATACCCTTACATAAAGCCAGAGGAAAAATCTACTTGGAAAAACTTGGGAGCACCTTAAAAAAGCCACCTCTGAGTTCCAATAGTTTATGATCATCCAAATAAAAGCTTAGAGTAGAAATCAACTACACTGCAGGAAGGAAGTGTCTATGACAGAGCCAACACAAAGGCAGAAAAGACATCCAAGGATTTTGTTTATTGATTGTATATTATAGAGAATATAAAATACGTGTGTATCAAATATTTCAAAG